GTTAACTCTGCAATTTAAAACCCTAGCCAAGTAGAGTCGTCCTAGCTGGACAAGTAATGGGAAACTTGCAAGTGATCGCAATGGTAAGATGCAAGATATTAGCTGGTTAAATTCCAGCAGGATCTCAATACAGACTCTCAGGACCCAAGCCTTGGTTCTTGCCAACATGTCTAGAGGTACAGATCAGCCATGATCTATGAAAATGGCTGTGCAGGGTCTATGGGCCGAATGGCCTACTCCTGTTCCTAAGCGCTCTGTCCTACCATATCAGTGTTGTTTGTCAGTTGCTGCAGATTAAATTGCTTTTCTTATAGTCGTATCATCTGGGAGAACAATAACAAAATTACATTTGTACAGCGCCTTTCACATCGCGAGGACGTCCCAAGGAGCAGGAAAATAGAAAACTACAATAGACGACAATAGGATAATGACTCTCCTTCCTGCACACCTGTCTTCCACCCCAGCCCCTCCACAAGTTCAGTTGACTAATTGTGGATATCAGAGTTGATGGCAGTATTGACTGATGGATCTGATTTGATGTACTATATCAAACAATAATCCTTCACAGGGTGTATTGTGAATTTTAATGACTATGACTTGTAGGTGAACACAGCAGCTAATTTGCTCACAGTAACGTCGCATAAACGTTCATGAAGCGAATGACCAGTTTTATTTGGGGGATTATTGGCGAGGACATCTGGGAAGAAAGAAACTCCCTTTTTGATTAGTGGCATGGGAACATTCTTCTGAATAGGCAAGTGGGACCTCAGTTTGAAGTCTCATCCAAAAGATCCCACCTCCAACAGTGCAGTGGACTGGAGTGTCATCAAAGACTAAGTCCTGACGTGGGCTAGAACCATACTTCTCTGACTCAAAGTTGAGAATGCTACTGCCTGCACCAGGCTGACACCCAAGTTGTTCTGTTCAGATAGCCAAGGTTGAAGGAAATCAGGAGTAGCCTACTGAGGGAATCTGTACTGAGAGGAAGTGCAACATTCATTCCAGGGTTTGTCAAAGCAGGATTTGGGGAGATTGTTGAGAGTTTGTGTGAATATTTCCTTCTGTGGTTTTCTCCAGTATGCAAATATTCTCACTCGGCCCAGAGGGTGCTTTTTATCAATTCTTCGTAGCAGGATGGCTACACTTGGCAACCTGAAACAAAGATGTACTCAAGATGCACAACCTCAAATTCCCCACCACATCCTTCCTTTTTGGAGCACCATATGTCAGTACACCAATCTGCTGTGCTGTCTTCAAATAAGAATTCTTGATAACTTGTCTTAACTTTTTCTCATGAAGGCATCGGTGGGCACATTATACTAGTGTACTGTGAAATGGTCTTTCCTCTTCAGTCCCTCTCCATCCAGTCATGGTACAGCACAGATTGGGTACAGAATATAGTTCAAGGTACGTTGCCTTAACCGCAACCACGGAAATAGCATGCCCTGCTACCCTTGAGTGGCAGCTCCATTTCTTTCTAAAGCTGTCATTGTGGCTGATTGAGACTTCCAGTTTAATGCCAATTTGTGCTTATTATGGGCCCATTTGTGCTATGTACTTAGGCTGATTAAGATCTGAGTTAAGACTATTGAAGCTCATCTCATCTGTGTTAGATATTTACACCAGCAGGGGGGAGAGGGAGGAGCTTCTGTTGTCTCCTCTGCCTGCACTGGTTCCAGGGATTAAAGGGGCAGCATGCAAACTGACTCGTCATCTGAACATTTTTGTGGTGGATAATAACAACAACAAAGTATTGTGTCTCTCACGTTGGGAGGACCTCCCAAGGCCCTGGAAATAACATCCTACAATGGCAACTTGGACTAATATACAGCCTTTCACGTAGGAACATCTAACAACTTCATGGGAACAATGTGATGGACTGAATAAGTAGGAAGGTAACCGATGCTATGGTTTTAGAGGGTTTTTGAATACAAGGACTATGTGAGGCAGGAACTCTTTGCTCTATGTATCGAACATTTGGTAATGGGAGTGTGCCATTACTACAAAAAGGTTCTTGAATTAAAGCAAGTGTGGAACACTGTAGTGTAGAGTTTAGAGCCCTTGTCTCGCAAGCGAGCAGATCCAGGTTTGATTCCCGGGCAGGGCAAAACCTGATGCAACATTTCCTTACTCCTACACGTCTTTGTTTACCAAGCAGCAAGTAGGAACCTGGATGTTAGTCGATTGGCAGATTGCTTTCCGGCTGTAATAATAATAATAATAATTTGGCTACTCAATCCACTACCGTTTGTGGGACACTGCTGTGTGCACTTTGCTGCTGCATTTTGCTCACAAAAAATTCTGTTTACAGTATATTCTGTGAATACTTTGAGGAGTCTCAATGAAACATTGCCAGACTACGGCACTACCTCACCCCTCATGCGGCTGAAACCTGGTCCACGCCTTTATCACCTCAACGCTGGACTATGGGAACTCTCTCCTCGCCGGCCTTCCCGGCCCTCCCTCCACACTGCAGGTCATTCAGAACTCTGCAGCTCGTGTACTGTCCCGCACCAGTGACCACATCACTCCATCGCCCTCGCTCGCCTCCACTGGCTCCCCATCCCCCAGAGGATCGAATTCAAGATCCTCATCCTTGCCTACAAGGCCATTCACAGCCTCGCTTCCTCCTACCTTCGCCACTTCCTCCCTTTCCTCCTTTAAGGCCGGTCTCAAGACCTTTCTCTTTGACCGGCCTTCAGCTCCCCTCTCGACTCTCTACCCCCTCCTCACTCCCTTCCCTCCCCTCACCCTGACCATTTCCCCCCTCCTCGCTCCCTCCCTTCCCTCCCCTCACCCTGACCATTTCCCCCTCCTCGCTCCTCCTTCCCTCCCCTTCACCCTGACCATTTCCCCCAATGCTCGGGTCCTGACCCAACTGTCCAGCGCTTTGGGACGTCTCCCGACGTGAAAGGAGCTCTATAAATGAATCCTGTTGTTGTTTTTGTTGAAGTCCTAAGTAGCCATATCAAATGCAAGGATTGTTATTTTGTTATTATTATTAAGTAGCAACAATGTAATGATTCCCTCATCATACCCCTTAACTTTCAGCCAGAGAGCAGTAACAGCTTGCACCTATATCACGCTGTCCACGCAGGGTAGCGTCTCAGAGCGCTTAACAGTGACCCCGAGCCGGGGGGAGGTGGCCGTAAGCACAGTCGAACAAGAAAGCTTCAGGCGGGACTTGAAAGACAAGGCAGAGGGATTGAGGGAGAGTGTTCCAGAGTTTTGGGGCATAGCGGCTGAAAGCACGACCTCCAATGGTGGGACGGAGGGTGCTCGGGGTTGGGGGTATTCTCGGGGGTTGGTGGGTATTCTCGGGGGGGTGTTGGGTATTCTCGGGGGGGTGGGGATTCTGGGTTGGGGTATTCTCGGGTGGGTCGGGGGGGGTGTGGTTGTGTTGGGTATTCTCGGGGGGTGGGGTATCGGTTGGGTATTCTCGGGGGGGTGTTGGGGTATCTCGGGTGGATTCTGGGGGGGGGTGTTGGGTATTCTCGGGTTGGGGTAGTCTCGGGGTGGGGGTAGTCTCGGGGGTGGGGGTAGTCTCGGGGGGGGGGTGGGGGGGGGGTAGTTCTCGGGGTGGGGTGGGGTATCTGGGGTGGAGGTGGGGTGTCTCGGGGGGTGGGGGGTAGTTCTCGGGGGTGAGGGTAGTCTCTCGGGGGTGGGGTAGTCTCGGGGGGGTGGGGGGTAGTTCGGGGGGGGTGGGGGTGTCTCGGGGGGGGTGGGTGGGGTAGTCTCGGGGGGGGGTGGGGTAGTCTCGGGGGTGAGGGGTAGTCTCGGGGGGGGGGGTGGGGTGGGGGGTAGTCTCGGGTGGGGAGCTCGGAGGGTAGTCTGGGGGGGTGGGGGTAGTCTCGGGGGGGGGGGGTAGTTGCGGGGGGGTGGGGGTAGTCTCGGGGGGGGTGGGGGGGGGTTCGGGGGTGAGGGGTAGTCTCGGGGGGGGTGGGGGTGTCTCGGGGGGGGGTAGTCTCGGGTGAGGGTAGTCTCGGGGGTGGGGTAGTCTCGGGGGGGTGGGGGGTAGTCTCGGGGGAGGGGTAGTCTGGGGGGTGGGGTAGTCTCGGGGGGTGGGGGTAGTCTCGGGGGGGGTGACGTGCGTACGTACATAGTGGGCGGTTGGCGAGCGGGAGCGTCTCGAGCGCGGACGGTTGAGAGCCGCTGTGGGGAGCGCGAGAGGGAGCGAGTCTGACTGACTGAGAGCCGGGGCGTCGTGTGCGGGTGTATGTGTGTGTGTGTGGGTGTGTGAGGAAGAGAGCGAGAAAAGCGTGAGGAGAGAAAAGGGGGAAAAGGGGGCGAACGGTGCAGCGAGAGAGGGAGGGAGAGAGAGAGAGAGAGAGGGAGAGCGAGCGCGCGCCATGGAGCGGGCCGAGCTGGAGCACAACACGCGCTGCGGCTGAGGAGATTATTATTGTTGTCGTGCGAGCGAGTGCGCGAGCGAGTGAGTGTGGAGGCGCTCGAGCTATTCCTCTCTCCCTCTCTCTCTCTTTCTCTCCCTGTCTGTGCGCGTGTGTCTGTGACTCTCTTTGTAACGGCAACGGCTCGACCCCCCCTCCCCCGGACCCTGACCCCCACCGACCCCAGGCCAGGCCCCCCTCCCCCCCGGGTCCGACCGCCCGCCCGCGGCTGATATTTCTCCGCGGTGCCCCTCCGTGAGGGAGAGAGAGAGGTGGAGGGTAACGGGTGGCAGATGAATTTCCAGCCGCAGCCCTCGCTGCACGCCGGCTCCCCCAGCTCGGGCTCGGGGGGCGCCGGGGGCTCGGTGGGGTCGGGCTCCGGCTCGGGCTCCATGCCCGCGCTCTCTCACTGCTCGCCGGTCGGCTCGGGCTCGTCCAGCGGCGGCTCGGCCGCCTCGCCGGCACAGCAGCAGCAGCAGCAGCAGCAGCTGGTGCTGTCCAACTCGGCGGCCATCCGAGCCGAGATCCAGCGCTTCGAGAGCGTCCACCCCAACATCTACGCCATTTACGACTTGATCGAGAGGATCGAGGACATGGGGCTGCAGAACCAGATCCGGGAGCATGTCATCAGCATCGAAGGTGAGCGACACCGGTTACTGCGAACCTCCCAACCGATCCCTCGTCGGTTTGGCGGTGATCGCCTCCCACCGTTATCCCAACAACTGTCCCCCGATTTACTGCGGAACAAAGGGACCGTTATCGCAGTCCGCGGGCAAACAACCCGACCGGTATCACACTGCAGGAGAAGTCGGTCCGATAATAATGATATAATAATAATCCTTACATTTAATATAGCGCCTGATCACGTTTTCGAGACCTCTCAAAGAGCTTCACATGATGTACTGTTGTAAAGCGAATTGACTGCATTTTGTGGCTCTCATGGGAATTAATGACATCTCCAGGATCTCTTGCCAGAACAAACGGATTATTACAAACCTCATGCAAAGGAGGTGCAAATACCAATAGGTTACAAATCACAATAAAAACTCACTGACCGATCACTACAAGTATCGGGTCCTTAAATATGTTAATGTTATTTTAACGGTCATTTCCTGGAACTGAATAATGGAAATGAACATCGGAGTAAATAAACTCTTTGTGAGCATTGGCATTAGAACACCATTCTTACAAATATCACATCATGTGAAAGTAAACATCGGCATTGATTGGAAAAAAATCAGATTATTGCATAAATCAGATGGCCATAAATCAGATTGGCTTTTCTGGGGGTAATAATCCCTCCAAAATAATAATAATTTGGTCACTCAATTCACCACAGTTTGTGGGAGGACACTCCTGTGCACAATTGGCTGCTGCGTTTCACTCACAAAATATAGTCAATTCACTTTATAGTATAATTCTGTGAAGCGCTTTGGGACACCTCGAAGATGTAATAAGGCACTATATCAAATGCAAGGATTATTATTGTTATTATCTCTCAGTACATCAGCACATGTTGGAGGAATATGAGATTTACTCATATCGGATTGCTGGCACTCTGGATAGTAAGTGCATTTTCATTGAAAATGGGAAATCTATACAGCAAATATTGTTTTCACTTAAATTGAAATATCCCAAAGATAATGACATTTGCATCAGAAGGCAGAGAATGCCAGCAGGCTTGAAAACTTGAATTTGCTCAAGTACATTGGAACACATCTTCAGTATTCAAATAAGGCAGGTTATCCCAGATGTTGCATTTGTAAATATGGTGCATGCGAGCATATAAAGTGGAGAACGAGTTTATTAGGAAATATTAATTATAGATAAATATTGTACACACTGGAATTGAAAGTAGGGATTTTTACATTTCAAAATAAGTTAAAGATTTATGTAGTTGGTCAATGAAAAACTTCTATGAACCTAAAAAAACCCAGTTATTTCACACATTGTGGCAATTCCTATTAAATTGTGGAAGAATAGTGATTTGATGAAGCATTGGCCTAACCTTGGTTGAAAGATTTTGGTTATCATAAGGAATGCTGTGTTTAGAATAGTTCTCTGACCTTGTCATCAGCACAGGGTGCAAAATGAACCCAATGTTCATTTAGTGCTGTTTCCATTTGTAGTGCATATTGTACTTATCGGAAAAGAAAGCTTCCAAATTACAGCCAGTTATTAAAACCTTGCTGTAGCCTGTGTTTGTGTTGATTATGTTGAATGCATTTAAAATTAAGGATTTACGGTTGGAACAATTTGGAATCTGTCTTTGGCTGTAAAAGACACACATTTAGTGAATGAGTTTCTGGTCTCCTAGGTACCACTATATTTGTCTATCTGAGTGGTGATATTTTGTAGAATAGGCTGTTTGAATAAGAACGATGATACATTTAACACAGTAGATAAATTATTCTTCAATTGATTCAAGTACCCAGTCTTTTAGGTTTACTCTTTTAATCACCAGCCTGCCACCTACTTTTGAGGGTGAGTTTAATATCTTTCAAGCATTACAAAAAATATCAGCTGTTAAAGTATATCTGATTTGTGCTACTTTTACCTACAAAATTCTGTAGATAAATCCTTTTTTGTTATTATTCCATTTTGAAGCATCTTGCTGTTGGCATATCTCTTGTAAAGGTGCAAGGTCAGGGCCAGTCATTGTTGTAAATGTGCGGAAAATACAAATTTAAAATGAAATTGTGACTGGCAGATTGGAGGAGGATGAGGGTGATCTGTGGATGTGTCGTTTCAGTGGAGACTCATCGCCCTGTCATTTCTATTGCATTATTAACTGTTCAAACCCCCACCATGCTATTCAGTGCTGTGATTGTATCCACTAGTTTATTTGAATAGAACTTGACTGCAAAGAGCTGGATGTTCATGAAACCCAGCATTAACAGCTGTATCAGAGTGTGTGGGTGTCTTGGAGCTTTGGGTTGGAAATGAACACAGGCTTGCGTGACCAATAAATGGATATCTTAACATCAACACCGGGTAAGCACACTCACATCAGCCATGCTCATGTTTTTAAATAGTCCTTGCGTTTGATGCAGAGCTCAGAAACATTGAAATTTCTCAAAGCACTCTAGAGGTAATTGCTATCAAGTGTAGTGACTATGCATTTCTGGACGCATTTTATTCACAGCAAGGTTCTATTAATTGTTTTTATTTTACTTCATGATTATTTATCATAGAATCGTACAGCACAAAAAGAGGCCATTCGGCCCATCGAGTCTGTGCTGGCTGTTTGAAAAGAGCAGTGTAATGTCAATCCCACTCCCCAGTCCTTTCCCCATAACCTGCAAACCCGTCCTCCTCAAATACCCGTCCACCGCGTTTTTAAAAGTTGCTATCGAATCGGCCTCCACCACCCTTTCAGCCAGTACGTTCCAGATTTGAACAACTCGCTGCGTGAAAACATTTCTTCTCCCCTCCCCTCGGCTTCTTTTAGAGACTATTTTGAATCTGTGACCTTGAGTCACCGACACACCCACCAGTGGAAACAGTTTTTCCCTTTCTAACCTATCAAATCCCCTCATGATTTTGAAGACGTCTATCAGGTCTTCTCGTAACCTTCTCTGCTCCAATGAGGATAATCCTAACCTCTCCAGCCTTTCCTCATAATCAAGGTCCCTCATTCCTGGTACCATCCTTGTGGAGTACCATCTGGAGTATTGTTTACCATAACTCCCTTCCCTTTTGGAAAAGTCATGAGATTTTTATTTTGTGAGAGCTCAAACTTGCATTTGTCAGATAACTAATGATTAGCTAATGGCCACTGTCTTTGAGCGGAGGAAGATGGAATCTCTTTGAGGCTGAGTTGGCTACAAGATGACACACCTGGAAATCGAAGATTGGAATTGCATTGATGCTCTTTGGTGCTGGTCTGATAGTCCAGTACGTTTTGTACTGTAATTATTTTGTACTCTTAAGGCACTGTTGATGATGGATCAGCAATCTGGACTTGTTAGCAAGACTTGGAGGACCAGTCCAGTCATCACTGGGGACAGGGATTCTTCCCACTTAGTATCTGTTAACTCTGCAATTTAAAACCCTAGCCAAGTAGAGTCGTCCTAGCTGGACAAGTAATGGGAAACTTGCAAGTGATCGCAATGGTAAGATGCAAGATATTAGCTGGTTAAATTCCAGCAGGATCTCAATACAGACTCTCAGGACCCTAAGCCTTGGTTCTTGCCAACATGTCTAGAGGTACAGATCAGCCATGATCTATGAAAATGGCTGTGCAGGGTCTATGGGCCGAATGGCCTACTCCTGTTCCTAAGCGCTCTGTCCTACCATATCAGTGTTGTTTGTCAGTTGCTGCAGATTAAATTGCTTTTCTTATAGTCGTATCATCTGGGAGAACAATAACAAAATTACATTTGTACAGCGCCTTTCACATCGCGAGGACGTCCCAAGGAGCAGGAAAATAGAAAACTACAATAGACGACAATAGGATAATGACTCTCCTTCCTGCACACCTGTCTTCCACCCCAGCCCCTCCACAAGTTCAGTTGACTAATTGTGGATATCAGAGTTGATGGCAGTATTGACTGATGGATCTGATTTGATGTACTATATCAAACAATAATCCTTCACAGGGTGTATTGTGAATTTTAATGACTGTGACTTGTAGGTGAACACAGCAGCTAATTTGACCACAGTAACGTCGCATAAACGTTCATGAAGCGAATGACCAGTTTTATTTGGGGGATTATTGGCGAGGACATCTGGGAAGAAAGAAACTCCCTTTTTGATTAGTGGCATGGGAACATTCTTCTGAATAGGCAAGTGGGACCTCAGTTTGAAGTCTCATCCAAAAGATCCCACCTCCAACAGTGCAGTGGACTGGAGTGTCATCAAAGACTAAGTCCTGACGTGGGCTAGAACCATACTTCTCTGACTCAAAGTTGAGAATGCTACCGCCTGCACCAGGCTGACACCCAAGTTGTTCTGTTCAGATAGCCAAGGTTGAAGGAAATCAGGAGTAGCCTACTGAGGGAATCTGTACTGAGAGGAAGTGCAACATTCATTCCAGGGTTTGTCAAAGCAGGATTTGGGGAGATTGTTGAGAGTTTGTGTGAATATTTCCTTCTGTGGTTTTCTCCAGTATGCAAATATTCTCACTCGGCCCAGAGGGTGCTTTTTATCAATTCTTCGTAGCAGGATGGCTACACTTGGCAACCTGAAACAAAGATGTACTCAAGATGCACAACCTCAAATTCCCCCACCACATCCTTCCTTTTTGGAGCACCATATGTCAGTACACCAATCTGCTGTGCTGTCTTCAAATAAGAATTCTTGATAACTTGTCTTAACTTTTTCTCATGAAGGCATCGGTGGGCACATTATACTAGTGTACTGTGAAATGGTCTTTCCTCTTCAGTCCCTCTCCATCCAGTCATGGTACAGCACAGATTGGGTACAGAATATAGTTCAAGGTACGTTGCCTTAACCGCAACCACGGAAATAGCATGCCCTGCTACCCTTGAGTGGCAGCTCCATTTCTTTCTAAAGCTGTCATTGTGGCTGATTGAGACTTCCAGTTTAATGCCAATTTGTGCTTAATTATGGGCCCATTTGTGCTATGTACTTAGGCTGATTAAGATCTGAGTTAAGACTATTGAAGCTCATCTCAT